GACCTAGCTGTCACACTGATCTTGTTATCTCATTGTCATTATCAACATAAAAAGAAAGTTTAAAAAATTCCGTGAGCATTGCTAATTAGAGGTGAAGAAGCCTGTTTTTCAAGGGTTTGCAAAATACTGTCCTATCTTACTTTACTGCTGCTAGGAAAAAACCGTAGACTATCCTCTTTCTTTATTATGGAATATTTTTGTTTACCTTCATTTTGCTCATTCTCTCCTTCATGCTAAATTAAGCATCTTTACCCCTACTTTCCACCAGCCTGACCCTATCCAAATCTTAAGTCTCCATCTTGAGGGTGTTCTATGTGTGCCCCTAATGTGTGCCATTCCTCCTCTGAGTTTTACTTGCTCTTTCCTCTGAGTGAGAGAAAAAATAAAAATTAATACTTCATTATACTTTATGTGTGGCACTATGCAATGTATTTTCTCTCTGTGTGTATAACAAACTACTATTTGCTAATCTATTCATGTATGTGTCTGCTTTGGCTACCGCAGTCTCTGAAACTCATTGTGTATATAGAATTAATGCTTCATGCACTGTACTAACTTAGTACAGTGCCAGACACATAACTGGTTTCAAGTAGATCCTTACCAATTGACTGACTAATCAATTAACAAAATGGAAAATCCTGCCAGCGGGCTCCAGCTTTGTCCATCGGAAATTACTTCCCTAAAAAGCATTTTTCCTTCCTTTACAGATCAATTGCAAAGTCAAAATTCAAACACTGCAGATTTCACAAATAGGAATAGCTGGCAGGCTATCAGGCTTTACACATAATGAATGTGCACATCAAAACAAAAGTTGTAGCTGTTTGTAAAAGTATACGCATACGGCTGATATGGGAAGAGAGGGCTAAAAACCTTTCCTCTTCCCAGTCCAAGGAGATTTTGCACTCAGCCCAGGAGAGTCCTGCATTGTTGCAGCCTTCTGAATCATTGAGATATTGTTATAGGATAGCCCAGCTTTGCCAACTGCAAAGAAACTACCTAGTTATGCTGGCAAAACCCTCTTGCTTGCTAATCTTCAGGATCTTTACAGGATCCAGAAGTAAAGGCAACAAAGTCTGTTTCATGAAGAGATAAGCTTATATGTTACACAACACTGTAGTTGATATTACAGGAAGGAATGTAAGTACTAGGGATCTTTTTCTATTACTTATTAGAGATTTGAATTCAGCTTTCTCTACAGGAAAATGATAATGAACGTGTGGCTAGTCTGTGCCAGTCGTAAGTATCTTCTAAGTTTCACTTAATTTCTTTAGTGATTAAGAGCAAAATGACAATGTTGAAATGATTATAGCGTAAGGGAGTAAAATATAATTCTTCATTATATTGAATATATACTCAGTACACAGTATCATAGCATTATTTATCCAGAACAATCATATCTGCTCTAATTTGGGGCAAACTATGTGCCAGACACTATTCTAAACACTTTAGATATATATAAATTATTCAGTTTTCAGAAGAATCTCATGTTATAGTTATTGTCATCTCCACTCTACATGTGAGGAAATTGAGGTACAATGAGTCTAAATAGGTTTCTCAAAGGCGATTGGAGAGTTCAGAAGAATAAATAGAGTTATTCATTGGAAGTAGATCTAGTTCTGAGCCAGGAACAGTCTGGCTGCAGAACTGATGTCCTTAACCACTATACCATATAGCCTCTAAACAATTTGTCATCTCTAATTGAGAGGTATGTATCATGGTGAAAAGCACATATGTTTCACATTCACATAAGCCTGGCTTAAATCTCAGCTCTGCAATTTGCTAGCTGTGTGGCCTTGAACAAATTATTTAACATCTCTGAACATTGTGTTTTGCAGTCCTATAGGGAATATGACACCACTAATAAATCTGTTATATTTGCAATAATTGGTATAATTCATCAACATAGTACATAGCATATAGTCAGTATTCAATAACTTACCATTACTATTATTATTAAAAAGTAGGTCAAATTTAATATTTTATAATAGCTTAAGAATTTTCTATTGGTTCACAGGTAAATTACTGAATAAGTGTCAAATAAATGGAAGTCTAGTTAATCAGAGTTCTTTGGAAAGCCATCAGTGTAACTCTATGTACTCTAAGGAGTATCATTTCAGCATTAATAGCACTTTTATCAGGATTATTACAAAATTCTGTCAATTGAAGGGGTTAAATCTGAGATAAGAGCTAGCCTTACTCCATTTTATGTTATTGATAAATTCATTTCGTAAGTTAAATAGAAAAAAAAACCCTAACTCACTGTACTTCAAGCTGTATTGTCAGTAAAATTCATCACAATGCTAAGCGATATAAGTAATTTTATTGGCTTGAAGGTTATGCAGGTCTTTTCAAGATCAGCTATAAAAATTGATCTCACCCCATTCCCTTCAAAAAGTCAATAGCAATCTTTGGATTTCTTTTTGTTTTTTCCTTGTAACAACCTCACATGTAATGAAGATCAATTTCCAAAGATGAACTCTGGGGAGTTAATAATCTATCAGCTACAACTACTTAGAAAGAAAATAATACAAATCTTTAAGTGGAAAAATACTTGGCTTTAAGAAGCAAGGATTACCAAAGCTGGGCTGAGGAAAATACTCAGCACTGAATATTAATGAGTAGAACATTCTAGCCATTGTCTATATGCCTGTAACCTTACCCCACAGTCTAAAATGATCTTTCCATAAAAAGTATTCCTATACCATCAGGAACATGACCCTTAGTTTCTAGGTTTCAATGTCCTGTGCTCCCAAACACGACAACCAAAGACCTTATATTCTTTAGGTTCTAATGATTCTTGTGACCGTGCCAGAATAGGGAGATGAGACACATTTGGAGGTCATGTGGTGAAGACAATTCCAAGACATCTGGCAAAATGGAGAGAGAGACCAAGATGTGAGCTTTCATTCTTCTCACCTTTTAGCAGTCAGAGGAACTCTTGAAGTGACAAATTTTTTGTCTCACTTAATGGATGTGGTTTGTAGATTTAAAACACCTAGTTTATAAGTACACATGCTCTTAAACTGCTTTAGATTTTTTGTTAAATAGGTATTGTTATAAGGTGTATTTTGATACAGAACTGTTTCAATGGACTCTGGTGAAGGGACTAATTTCAGTAGAATTATGCATCTTACATTTTCAAATAAATATCACAGCACTAACAGTCTTCCAGATAGCAGGAAAGAGAGCTACTAGCCTCACAAGATACACTAGGAATCACGAAAGATATTAAATGGAGACTTTAAAATCTATGTTCAAAAGATTATATATAGTCTTGGAGCTATACTAACAGGATTAGAAGACACTTATCACATGAGTTTAAATTTGTATATTGTTACTTAGAACTATACTTCCTAGAGTAAATTGGTATTTGTATTAATCCTCTAATTAGCATGTGAATAGCCTAATTACAATACATTATACTTTTAGTGTTAAAACCATTACTTGTAAGAATGCAAACATTAATAATGCGAAAGGATTTGATGATCCTGTTTTGGTAGGTATTCACCTGTTAATATATTGGGATGCCCAAATAACAAGGTGGGTTAAGCCTCTCTTTACCTTGAAAAAGAGTGCTGCAGTGTAAAGAAATCCATTGATTACCCAGTATGATATAAAATATAGTTTGCCGTGATAGTAAATCCATAGTTAATAGTAAGGATGCTGAAAGGAATTCACTTAAATTGACATCCTACTAAGCATTTTAGAAAATGCTTTTAAAAACATTGCCTGGGTGAGTCCTCTCAACAACTGTATAACTTCCGTTATTCATCTCACTTCACCCATGAGGAAAGAGGCTTAGAGAGAAGTTAAATAATGCGTCCAGTAGGTAGCAGTCAATGTTTGAACCTCGCAGTGAAATGCCAGAGCTCATTCTCCTGCTCAGAGGACTAGTGATTATAGAGACTCATGACCCCCAACTGCTTTCATCAGCCTTTAAAAATTTTCTTAATTTTTCTATCTACTACTCCAAATTAATTTTATGTTTTTAAACACATGCTTTCGAAATTAACTTTGTTTCATAAAGCTATTTTTGGGGGAATCCTTAAAAATAAATAGCCCTTTCTTCAAATAGTCTTTTTTCTTCACCTCTAGGAGAATTTTCTTCTTTCCCTGGCCTGCCATACACTTCAATTCTCCTTCCAGCTAGCTGTGAATGCAGCTTCCTTTTTATCTATTTTACTTCTCTCTCTCAAGCCCTTTCCCAAGTATCTTCCCAATCGGATTCCAGCTGCTTCGTGCCTCATTCTTCCATAATGGTCCTCTAGTTTGCCACCCCCTGTGCCTCTAAGTCTGGGTGTGCTGGAATCTACAGGCATCTGCATCCCCACTTATCCTGACTACTGTGGTTGCAAGGGGCCCCTTTTGAATGCAGACAGCTAGTCAGCCAAGTCGAAATTTATACCAGAAATCTATTACCTAATTTTTAAACAAAATGACATGAAATCAGACTTGAAGATATCAAAAACATGTCTAGTTTCTGAGTTAAGCAAGAAAATCCACATTGTTACTGCTTCCACCACAGAATAATTTACTGCAACAGGAGTTCTGGATCTTATGCCAAAAATGAGGTCCTCTAACCAATGTCAAGGCCAATTATCTTGTGGTAGATCCCACAACAAAAGCAGACTATTGTGATTAGAGTCAGAAGCACCACCCAGAGAAACTGGAAAGCTTCTGGGGATTTCTTAAGGTTAGTTTTTACGTTTTTTTCTCCCTGTGTGTCTGTTTAAATAAACTACCAGAAACTTAGTGTGTGGGCACTGAACATCTTAGATTTGTCTAAGAGACAATGAAAGGGATGATGCATTGGGAGTGCTGCACGTTTGCTTTGCTTTGTGCTTGTGACATTACAAAGATGGTTACTGCCAGGCCCCTTCAGTGTATCACCACCTCCTCCCTTTCTGATTCTCTCCTTTCCAGACACTTTGCCCTGTAGCTATCCTGTGCTTCCTTACTTGGAAGAGAAAGCCCAGGTGGCTAAATTAAGGAACACTTACCCCACAGTAAAGAACTGCCTCATCTCCTGTCTTCGAGACCTCATCAGTTGTTTATACTCCCCAATCCGGAGCTTTTTGCCATCAACAATGCAGGTGCGTTTCGGTCGAGGTTTGTATTTATAGTTTGGGTACTTCTCTAAGTGGATCTTGCTTAGCCGGGCCTGTTCTTCGTAATAAGGTTGTTTCTCTTGGTTGGACATAGATTTCCAGCGAGACCCTAGACATAAAAATAGCCTTCAGTACCCCAGTGGTCAAGGCAACGTTTTCCTGACAGCACGAGATGTGTCCTTCCCACTGCCTCATCCCCTTCAGGCTTAGTCTATGTCCTCACACCATTGAGACGCATACCTAGTCATCTACACTATAAAGAATAATTCTGTATGTTAATTTATTGCATTATTCCTCTGAATAGTTTAAAGCTGATGGTACAATAAGGATATTATTTGAAAATCTGTATTTGCTGCTAACAAACCTACCTTTGCTCTCCTACATGAGGGTCTTTACCCCATTTACCTTCCAATCTCTCTCAAGAGGATTAAAAATCTGAACTTCCTAAGCACAATAGGATTGTACTTCCTAAGTACAATAGGATTCTCAGGAAAAGCTCTCTTGGTCCCAGAAATTCAAACATCTCCCACACGCCAAGCATCTTTAGGAAAGCTCGATAAGATGTCAGCAGATGTTGCTACCCTGCCATATATAAAAGCCTACTGTGCACACTGTCTCCTCTGGCTGAGGGTAATTAAAAAACCTAAACTCTACCTAAGAAGTTATAACTTTAGAACCGGAAGGTGCTGTTGGAGTTATATATACCATTTTCAAGTACTATAAACGTTCACTCAAAGCTGTACCAATGAAAGTACAAAAATTTTTAATATGGTTTATACAGGAAGAAGGAAAAGTATTCACGTCTCTAATATTGTTTATAAAGAGTTATCTAAACACTTGATGAAGAAGGGATGTGTTTTTTTACATGTATCAAATTGCATTTTTGTGTCTCGCTGGTGAATAAAGCGGTAACAGCTGTGCTGACTGGATGCTAGCTATTCTTCGGTGGAGATTTTTCATACATAAACAAATGGAAAAGTTGTACAAATATTCTCTGTAGCCAGCAATATCCTGGTCTGCTTTAGTCGCACATCCATCCCTGTTCTGTCCTGATTGTTGAGCAAAAGTTGTGTAGAAAGTCTCTGCTGATAGGCTTCTCTGTGTTCTCACAGCAGTTTAAAACCCCAGTTAACAGAAGATTCTTAGTACTCACAAAATGCTGTGCTTTAAAGGTTTACATTTTAATGAATACACCCACTATACTCTTAATAATTTCTTTCACAGAATGCACAGCAATAATATAGTTACTCCACAGCTGCCAAGATGGAAACAGAGAGGTTTCTGTGCCCATCTGAGAGCTTACTCAAGCTGCTACTAACTGGTGAAAATATAGATGTATAGATTTTATAGATATAGGGTGGATGAACACTGATTTTCTTTTGTCTATTAATTTGAAAAAAAAAAGTATATCCATTAGAAACATGATGGCTTGAAATTCAAAAGCACTATGTCTCTCTCTGAGGCTTTAAGAATAAAACTGCCCTATGACCTAGTACCCATCTCAAAATGCAAAAAAAAAAAAAAGCTTGTATTTTAATATTTACCATTATTAGACCTTATGTATGTTTTCTTAGAGGTCACTGCCTCAAAATGTCTCACAATCAAGTTGAATTATTTATACAGTGACAAAACATGTGTATTTGTGTATGTCCAGATCATTGATATTTACTCAGGTTAAATATTTATTGCTTTTGAACAAAACATTTAAAAATGGAAAACCGCAGTTTAAGTCTCTAATGTTTTTCGGCTTCTTAAACTGCTCCCTTTGAGATTCTGTCACATCACGACAGCTTAAGTAGAACAGTGCCTTCTGTGTTTTTTCCTTTTAAAGAGGAAACATGTTGACTGTAATGCTGCATGTTGAATAAAATATGTTCAATATGTTGAGTGCAATAATTCTAAACTGTATAATCTGCAGTAGGCAAGCTTTACACTAATAGAACAAGGCTTGAGTTTAATCCTGAGAAACGGGAGAATCATTCTGGCAATTTACCACAGAATGGGCCTCTGCCCTGTGGTCTATGCATTCAACTCACTGCTATGAAATTCGAGCTAGTCATATCTTATTAAAGTAAATGTAGTTTTATTTTACAAGTTTAAGAGTTATCATTAGAGGCACTGTTCCACACTCCATGAATTTCACACTATTTTTGGCTCCCTTTAGTCTTGATGAGTTCTTTCAGAGGGATATGCAAACCCCAAAATACTAAAGTAGAAAACTGTAGGGTCCATGAATATTTGCAAGATTTTGTAGCAACATATGATTTTAAGAAGGCTGAATAAGAGAAGGTGATAAAATTTGTTTCCACGAATGTTGGTAAACGGTGACTTGCCAGTGAGTCAAGTCCACAGCATTAACATATACTATAAATAGTTTTGTCTTTAAAGTCAGTTTTTTGTCAATCTTCCTCTGGCACTTGATGGGTGTAATGACTCCTAACCCCAAAGTCACACTACGGGGCTTGGCGTGCAGAGATGATGACAAAGTTTCTTGTGGCAGTGCATCAAGCTTCATCTAGCTCATCTAACCACAGCTCCCCTAGGGTGTCAAAGTATGCCCCTGCTTTCCACCCTGAGGCACTCAACAGGGTAAAAGACCAGCAACGGCTGCTGCACTCACCTAAGATTTTGCTAATGTTGGAGTTATGCATGTCAGGGAAGGCCTGAAGGATTTTCCTCCTTTCATCCTTTGCCCAAACCATGAATGCATTCATTGGTCGCTTGATGTGTGGCTCGCTGCTGGCCCGGCCCCGGGCATCCCTGTAGACTCGTGCTTCAGCCACAGTGGCACCTCCTGTTGGCCAACAATAATACTGCTGTAGTTTAGCTGCAGAGCCATTCATTGCTTTACTTCCTGTAATGTCAGGGCAGGAAGAACAAGATGGGTGCAAAGCATTATTATCTGGATAATGTAACACAGCTTGCCACCTGGTTCAGCTGCTTTCCCTCGGCCCTTCTTTTCTGTTTCTAAATGACCTTTTGGAAGCAGGAGACAGTTTCAAATGACAATTCTATAGGCCCTCCGATATAGATCTCACAGAGGCACTGGGCAGAATTAATTTTGTATATTTTAATAAATCTACTGTATTTTTATTACAATCAATTCCAGGTGATGATAAAGCAATGGCTGCTTATTATTTTAGGGTAAATTTTCCTGCTGTGATTCCTCCCTTAAAAAGCAAGCTTTTACCTATCATTTTTGCCTCATTTGCCAAAAATTGCAGTCACTTCAAACTCTCTTTCCCTCAGACAGAATTCTCTTCAACAATACAGTGCCTTCTGTACAGAAGCCCTTCCTCCTCTTTCTTCACACTAAATCCCATTCAACCTTCAAGGCCTATTCAAATGCTGGTAAATGAATTAAGTGAAAAATCTGAACTGAGCAATTATTATTATGAGCTAAACTGCATGTCAGATGCTAGGGAGACAAATATTTATCATTCATTTATTCATTCATTCATTCATCGGTTCCTGCTTTTAAGCTTACATCTCAAAGGGAAGATGAACCCCCAATAATTAGAAGAGTGTGTAAGTGCTGTAATATTGATGTAAACAATTCTACTGAAGTAAACAGAGTGCTAAGAGAGAACCAGACAGAATGGTCAGTTAATCCCCCCTAGGAGAGATGACATCTAATTGGAACTTGGAGAATGAATAAGAATTAGCATGTGAATGGGAAAGGGTTTTGGGGCCCTTGGGTTGGTTATATGGATGAAAGGAGCTTCATTTGCAAGGATGCTACCTAGAGTGCATTTACTCCTCTTTCTTTTAAGCTACTTATTCCAAGGTAATTACTGGCTGATGAGACACCCTGTCATATTTGCAGTCCATCCTTAGGAACATGAGACCCCTCTCTCTTGAGTATTTTCACATATTAAAGACTCAGTAAATATTTATTAAGTACAAGATTGTTTGGTTTTGAAACTGTATGTAGCAGTAGACTAAAAGGCATTCAATTCAAGCTCCTGATACATTTTTCTGCTGTTTAAGTTATTTAACATCTCCCTACAAAATGCCTCAATTCCTGATATGTTATTGTTTCCAAAGAAATGATTCTACTAACATGGCAGAGTGTTTATGTTCCTTCTGGATAGATCAGGAAGTGGCTGTCATTCACTGCTGTATCCTTACGTTCTAGAAAAGCAATTGGTGAATAGAATTTCAACTTCTAAAATATGTTAAAGGAATGACTAGTTGACAAAGGAATGAATGAAAGAACATAACTTTAACTTGTTTTCATGCACCTTACCAGCATGACACAATGATGTATGCTTTGCAATGTGGCAACATCTGAACTGCTCCCTATAGATTGAGAATTTCTACAGTTAAATGTGAAGTGGTTGGACTCATCAGTCTCAGTTAGGGCTTCTACTAAATAAACAGAAAAACCTACGCCCAAAAGCTCAGAAGCAAATATACATTAGAACCAATGTTTTTACTTTTAAAAGTGAACCTTTCAGTTCAGTGAAGTGATTATTTGGGAACAACACGATCTAATTTATCTCTAGTCTTTCTACTTTATTCCTAGATACGTTGATTAAGTAGAAATTTGTGTCAGAGCTAGTGATAAATTAAAACACTATTATTTGTCAAATATGGCCATCATTTAATGTTAACAAAAGACAGGATAAGTGGGCCAAATTGGCTAAAATTGTCAATTCTTTCGTAAACATGAAAGAAAGCAAAGGGGCCACTTTCTGAAGATCACGCCAAAATAGCATTTTATAAACAGCACTTCGTTCAGGCCTACTCGACAGAATGATTCCTTACATGAAAAGTCTCAGATCTCAAGATGCATAACTAATATGCTACCTTTTTGCCACCATACCCACAGTACATTAATTTCATTTAAAATGCACTGACCATACAGGACAAATTGATTTCACTTTATATGAGTTTGACAGCCATGTTTATTGTGCAGTGAAATGTAGTGTAGCTTCCAGCTGACAATATCCATCAACACAGGGCAATATGCTGACTGCTGGGCCAGATGAAGGCATACATTACTCTGGAAGTGAAACACTCATTCAGATACGACAGTGTCTTCTCCTGAGGATCACCATGGTAATTTATGATGCCCTCGGTGCCATTACTTTACAACTGACATGGATTCAGCAATTTATATACTTGCATGCATACAAATAAAAGGAGACAGGCTTGTGGAGAATGTCAGGTATAAAAACATTTCAATATTATTCTAAGTTAACTACTGTGCCACAGGTGATTAACATTTGTGATCTGCTTCTATTGTTGTAGCTTTCATGCCACCTCTAGCAAAAACAAATAATCTTCTTCCCCTACTTATTCCTTTAAAGGATGCATTTCATTGTGCATAGGAAGTTTTAATCTCTATAAACTGACAGAGATCATGGTGAATTTTTAGACTCTAGTTTCAGTAAATCTGTTATTCCATACCAAGTGATTCTCTCAAACATATCATGTATAGGCCAAATCTCTTTCCTTCTCTTTATGAACATACCCTTACTCTCTTCTATTTTACTCTACTTTCTCCCTCAGGGACAGAACTTAGATTTCACCCACCAATTGCCCTATACTGTCCCTTCCTCCTATGGTACGTACTAGCTACGTGAGACTGACTGACACTAAGTTAATTACACAGAGGCTCTCTAGGATCACAAGGAATGCTCCAAGAAATTGAGAAATTCAAGCATAGTACATAATATAAATATGTAAATTAAGAAATGGAAAGTAAGAAATGCTCTGAGGCACGCATACATTTCTTTTGCTTGCTTTCCCCTCTCTATTCCAGAAAGAGCAAACTGAAAAATGAATGGGGACATTCTAAGTTAAATTATGAGCATTGTAGTCATAAACCAAGATTTAGGGAAAAGAAGAGTTTTATTCAGAGATAACAAGGTCTGAAACCATGTTTAAACTGTATCTTATATCTGATTAGAGTCAGAACTTAAGAAAGTATTTTAAAAGACCACAAAGTTCAAAAATATTTAGAAAGTGCTCCTGAATTTCCCTTAAATATTGTCTCATGAAGCAAAAAGTTGAGGGAATTATTACTAGTAAATTGATAATTAGTCATAGGTAAAAGCAAGATGAATAAATATCTCCTCAAAGACCCATTAAATAAGTATATTTTGTAAGACAGAATGAAGGTAATATATGCAAAGTATTGAAACAAGAGGTTCTCTTCTGGGATGTAGTTCTTAATGGCTGGATCACATAGCAGACCAACACTTCCAGCAGACAATAATTATAAATGCTGAAAAAAAACAACCATTTTAATGCACCTGACAGCTATCAAAATTAAGAGGAAACTGGAGAATATTCAATCCTAGAAAGGAATTTCACTGAGTAAGATTCCTATTTTCATAGTTTTCCATGAAGGCTTTCTCCAGCCTGCAAAGAAGGGAATGGCTAGAGTGTAAAAAGAAAGTTAATTTTAATTGGCTCAATGTGTCAAAAGACAAAGTGGTTGACCCCTGAACTTCACATCTATATGGATGACTCCGAAGATTCCAGTAGACTGCAGGGCTACGTATCTGAAAAATCTAGGCAGAAATCTAGGCAGAAATTTTAGCTGATGACCACTGTAATGAACTTGTATTTGAATCCTACCAAGTTAGAGGAGATTTATAAATACCTTGGACTGCCCATTGAAACCTCCGAGGACCCACTATTTAGAAATAAAATCTGTATGACAGTACTAAGGATTAAGGGAAAATACTGAAGCAGCTTCTCCCTATTAATGTAAAATTAAACCTCTACAATTTCAATGTGATCATTAAGTAATTTAACTGCTTCTAGCACAAAATTTAATATTGTTATTAAGAAGGGTATAGGAAGCTTGATTCCTTATAATTTATAACTCAAAAGGTATAATATGTAACTAAAGATTACTAGTTGTACAAACAACCAGGAAAATATGACTTACTTAAAGATAAAAAATAATCAACAGAAAAAAAGAAAGTGAGATGACTCAGTATAATTGGCAGACAAGGACTTCAAAGTACCCGTTATAAATATGTTCAAGGACTCAAGTGAAAAGATCATCATAATGAATGAATAGAATGGGGAAACTCAGCAAAGAAATGAAGCTATAAAAAGAATAAATGGAAATTCTAGAACTGAAAAGTATATTTGAGATGAAAATTCACTGAATAGACTGCACAGCAGTTTGGAGTGCAGAAGAAAGGGTTGGGGAATGTGAAGAAATTTTCCAGTCTCAAAATCAGAAAGACAAGAAAGTTGAAAAAATAAAAAGGGACTCAGCAATATGGAGAACAATATTTAGCGTCCTAAATTATGTATAATTAGGATTCTAGAAAGAGAGGATCATAACTAAAGAATATTTGAAAGAACCCTGGTTGGAAATTACCTGAATTTGGAAAGAAGCCTTGACTCATAGGTTTCAAGACACTGAGATAAGTGCAGGCAGAATAAATACAAAGAAAACGACACCTAGACACTAGTCAAACTGCTGAGAAAGAAAGAAAATGGCATACACATGGAAGCAATAATACAATGATGGCTGATTATTCATTAGGAACAATCAAAGCTGGAAGACTATAGAACATCTTTAGAATGCTGAAACAAACAAAAAAAGTCAATTTAGAGTTTTGTCCAGTGGACATATGCTTCAAAAATGAGTAAGAATTACACTTGCAAGCAAAAAAATGAGAGAATATATTACCAGTAGATTCATACCAAGAGAAATAATTGAGGAAATTATTCATAATGAGGAATTAAATCTGATGAAAACTTGAATACATAGAAAGGAAAAGTATTGAAAATGCTGAACATGTAAATAAAGTAAAAAAA